TTATTAATGGATGCTAAATATGGGGATTATTCCACTAAGGAGAAGAATATTTGCATGATTTTCTTACTACAAACTTACTTTCAAAGGGGGCAGGGGGAGTAGTCATTATATGTTGGAGAAAGGGGACAATGCCTTGACCAGATAATCAAAATCAACATCACCGGAAAGGGACAGATAGGCTTATATTGTCTCTCTAGGTGGATACTTTGCAGCATTCCAGCCAAAAATACGTGATATAACTCTAATCAAAATGAGGAATGTTTTACTTTTTTTAATGTGGAAAGATTGTATCCTTCAAAAGTGTTAAAAGACAGAGAAAGGCTGTGCTAACTTCCCAGATGACATGAGGCCTAAGAGACATGAAAACGAAGTTATCTTTCTGCCCCCAGACTGCAGCCAATATTGGAAGAGAAAGTACATTATTAGATCAACTGACAGAATTGGAATATGGATATTAAATAAAAGGATTATATCAATGTAAAATTATAAGGTTGATTCTGTACTTACGTAAGGCAATATCTCTATGCTTAGAAAGTATATACTGGCATATTTAGGGATAAAGGACCATGATAATGTATGTAACTTGTAAAAGTTTCAGGGGAAATGCATGTGTGTTTGTGTATGTGTGCAGGAGTGTGTATGTGTGGGTGTGGGTGTATCTAGTCTACAGAGATAGGGAAGGTGCAAATGATAAATGAGATAAATAAAACCTTCCCAAAGGTAGATCTGGGTAAGGTTATGTAGCTGCTGTTTTTGGTACCATTTTAATTTTTGCAACTTAGTTGTAAGTTGGCAGCTGTTTCCAAATAAAAAGTTTTAAAAAGGAAGGAATAAATTTGTCATGTTTTTCTGTTTAAATCATAAACCTTAAACTTCTAGAGAAGATGCTTTTTTTAACTTTTATTCAGTAATTATACTTCTAGAAATTTGTATTGGAATAATTAGTGATAGTCACACACACTATATACATGAATATATGGATAGTTGTCACTGTCTTGATTATCATAATAAATTTAAACAACCTAAATATTCAACAAAAGTAGAATTATTAAATAAATTTTAATATATTCATGTCTGGTATTTTTTAACATTTACGTAATATATACCAAACATAGATTCACCCACAACATAAGAATATGGTTATCACCAGGTATTAATGAGTGATTTATTCACCCACAACATAAGAATATGGTTATCACTGGGTGATAATGAGTGGTTTCAGTTCTCTTTAGCATATATTTTAAATATACTATAAGTTGTCTCTGATTCACCCACAACATAAGATGGTTATCACTGGGCATTAATGAGTGGTTTCAGTTCTCTTTACCATGTATTTTAAATATAAGTTATCTGTAGTAGTAAATATTTCTTTCATAGTTGGGTACAAAGAAATAATAAGGAATACTTAGAAGATGTATAAGTTTACTTTTCTGAAATTTACTGATTAACCATCTCCCAGGTAAAATTTGACTTGATAATTTAGTCAGAGTCTCTCATGAAATAATTTTAGAGAGTGATTAGTACAAAACTTATTTGAAAGAAAGAAAGCTTGAATAATGAAATGCACTCAGCCTTTATTTTATTTCAGGAGAGGATAATTGCGCTTCCGTATTCAGGTATACTTGTGCACATGGATCATGTTAACTCTAATCTACTAATTACTTTCTCGAGCAGTTTTTGCTGATTTTATAGGGAAGTTTTCCTTTGCTAACTTTTATTTCATTCTCCTTAGTCATACTCTAAATCATCTTGCACTCTTAACGTTTAACACTTTCAAAAACACACAAATGTTTGATGTGTTTTTGATTGAGGATTGATTTGAGTAGTAGTATTTGTTATTGGTGAGACTGTTTCTTTCTTGAAGATTGAAAAGACACATTGAAGGTTAACTGAACTGTACTTGGAAAGAAAAAAGGCTCTGATTATAACATATGATTGGACTTAAGATATCAGTGGTATTTGTATATGTTGTACTTTAAACTTCACATTAGACATGAAGGGGAGGTGTTCTCTGCTCCAGAGATTTCACCTACATTACTGAACTGATGTGAAGAAGGCAGAATTAGCCAGAGAAGAAAAGACTATAGAAGAGAATGATTTCTAAAATGGTTTCCAAACATACAGAATCATTCAAGAGAGCATGACGGTCCCTTCCTCACCTCTATGAGACATAAACTGAGAGCATTTGAATTTAAATTTTAGTGTTAGGGATTTGGATTAAGAAATTTCAGAAAATGAGTTAGCAAAAGTGGTTTTGTATTAAACACATACATACACACATACACACACACTATGCTTGTATAACCAGCATGGATTTAAAGTGACTTGACAGAAAATGATGGGTTTTGGTCCATCTTAGGCCCTTCTAGTTGTGCAGTTTAGTAATTCCCTTGCCTTTAATCCTCTGGACTGTGATGTGATTAATTAGTATCTTAAAGGGCACACAGAAACAATTCGGTAGCCTAATCATTAGGAACTGGGAGCACTTAGATAAGGACCTCTAAGTAATTCATGCCATTAGAATCTTAGAATCTGCCTGACTAAAATGAATGTGTGTCAGGGATCACTGTAAATCATGAGCTACCTAAATGCAGACACTGGCACTGTTGACTCCTTTGCTTCAACAACTTTTCCGCAAGTAAAATAATGTGTCATAGAAAGTATTACAGAGATTAAACTTCACTGGGACAAAAGGAAGTAGGAGTGGGTGTCCACTCACTTTTGACGCTCAGCATTTGCCAGCCTGTGTTCTTTTTACCTTTCTCCTGTTTTTGTCTGTCTGCATGGTAAGTTCCTTCACAGCAGGGTCCACGTCTCACACCAGTGTTCTATCCTGGCTAACACGATGAAACCCCGTCTCTACTAAAAATATAAAAAAAAAAAAAAAAAAGGCCGGCCGCGGTGGCGGGCGCCTGTGGTCCCAGCCTGTGGTCCCAGCTACTCGGGAGGCTGAGGCAGAGGAATGGCGTGAACCCGGGAGGCGGAGCTTGCAGTGAGCTGAGATCGCGGCACTGCACTCCAGCCTGGGCGACAGAGCGAGACTCGTCTCAAAAAAAAAAAAAAAAAAAAAAGAAAAAACTACAAATAGTTTCTTTTGTGGGAAACTATAATATTCTCACAGAAATAAAAGTACAAACTGGTTACTGAGACTTCAGATTGGAAAGTCAGGAGAGATTCTCAATCTTGGTTTCTTCCCACCAAATGTACTAAAATTATGAACGATTCCTTATATATATGTAGACAGAACTTAATATATTAATTTTTTTTTCTTTTTAAAGTCCTTGCTGAGACCTTTTAGGAGGGAGTACTCTCTAATGAATAATACTGATAAAAAGAATAACAATAATAGATCCTTACTATCAGACCTCTTCTAAGACTTTTGCATTTAGTTCTCACAAAAATCCTAATATTACTAAATGTTAACACTAATATTAAATTTATCTCACAAGCATCCTATTAAATATTAACATTAATATTTCACAGAAATTCTAATATTAACATAAACATTAATTTTTTTTGTTTGAGACAGAGCCTTGCTCGCTCTGTGGCCCAGGCTGGAGTACAGTGGCCGGATCTCGGCTCACGGCAAGCTCCGCCTCCCGGGTTCACGCCATTCTCCTGCCTCAGCCTCCCGAGTAGCTGGGACTACAGGCGCCCGCCACCGCGCCCGGCTAGTTTTTTATATTTTTAGTAGAGACAGGATTTCACCATGTTAGCCAGGATAGTCTCAATCTCCTGACCTCGTGATCCACCTACCTCAGCCTCCCAAAGTGCTGGGATTACAGGCGTGAGCCATCGCACCTGGCCTAACATTAATATTAAATATTATCTCACAAAAATCCTAATATTATTAAATATGAAATATTTAATTTTAAATGTTAGGATATAATCCTAATATATCTTAATAGTTACAGATGAGGAGAGCTGAGGCACAGCTGTATGTGTCTGCTGTATGTTTCTGTCTCCCAAGTCAAGGGGTATAGCCACAAATTATTCAGTAAATCTATCACGTGTTTATTTCTACATTTTAAATATTAAAGTTCAGTTTTTACTTGCCCTTCATTCCTTTTGTTATCTTATCCTGTATCTATATGCAAGCAATTTGTTGGTCAGCATTGAACAAACTATTTTTGGACCCCAAAACACTTTGCTCACCCAAGAGTTTTTTTTTTAGTCACAGACCATCCTGAACGACTGAGTCTAGCTTCATCATCGTGCTATAGTTAGGGCTGAAGAATTCTATGTAGTCTGCTCACTAAGGGGTGTCCTACCTTTCCTTCCAGATTGCTGCCTTCACGGCGATTCCTGGTTGAGGCTTTCAGAAGCTTCCTCTGATCAGCCTCCTTTTTCCTGCTCCCACCAAGAAGTGCTCTTCCCATTCCAGACACAGCCTCGTGTTTTACTGATTGCAAGAAAAACAGAAAGAGAATATGAAGGAGGCCAGTCTAAATGGGAGCCCTTATCTTTCCTGTAAATGATGCCTTTGAGTAGTCAGTTTTTAAAAATTGTTCCCAAACTGTTGTTTCTAGGTTATTGGTGACTCAGTACATCTCACCTGCATTCCTTCTAGCTCAGTGGGTTACGTCATCTTCTATGATTAAATTTGGATTTGATTTGGCAAAATTTTTCTTTCGTTTAGCAAGCTTTTATTGAACACACACTGTGTGACAGCACTAATGCTGTGAGGTGAAAAAGAAAGATATTAGTGCTGCCTTGGGCTCAGTTTCCCTACTTATGCCCCATGGCTCTCTAATAAGGGATGAATGGAGTTTAATTTACAGTATTCAAAGTAGAAGTAACATTCAGTTTTCTAGATTGTAGGGTTTATACACATTTATATACAGTTAAGTAGGTGAACCTCCAAATTGTTCAGGTGCCTGTTACTGAGTCTATATAGAATATTGGTCACGATTAACAACCTTTGAGGCTTCCACATTCAGTAAGGCTTTAATATTGTGCCTACTAGAAGGGTGATCTGTTTTTCTTCTTGTCCTTCCTAGGCATACCCAGAGTATCTCATCACTTACCAGATCATGAAGCCAGAGGCCCCTTCCCAGACTGCAACAGCCGCAGAGCAGAAGACCTAGTGAATGCCTGCTGGTGAAGGCCGGATCAGATTTCAGCCTGGGACTGCAGTACAGAGGATTGTTTCTAACAACAACATCAATATTCTAGAAGTCCCTGACAGCCTAGAAATGAGCTGTTTGTCTTTCATAAAGCATTGATATAGTGATGAATAGTATGAGTAACTGATACATACTCAACTGCTACTGTTCCCTTTGAGGAAATGTTTACAGGGGCGGCCTTTTACCATATCTCAGGCTCATTTTCATTGCAGTTATCCATTTCTAAAACAAGGTCACTTCGATCTAGACTTGGAAATGGGAAATAAAACATAACCAATGCTTTTTCAGATGTTCACGATTCACACACTACGTTTGTTTTGTTACGCATGACACGTGTATATAACAAGTATACACATATGACAGGCGACAGGCTTATTTCTGATTTGCCAGACATGCATCATTGGCTATTGTTTGTTTGTTTTTTGGTTTTTGTGGGTTTTTTTGGTTACTTTGAAAATGAGCCAGAGCCTTCTTGAGGATATTTTGCACAGAGTCACGCTGACAAAATCATTAGCAATGCAACCCAAGCTTCTGGCTGAGCAAGATTCCGTTTCCACTTTTAAATTTTTTTCATTTTTCTCTGTAGCTGCACATCTCATTAACGTAAATTGAGATGAAAAGGAAAAAACATCAAGTTTTAGTATCCTTTTATGAATCGGCCTATCTTACAAGGGAAGGGTACAAACACCAACCTGACTTAGGAACTCCTAAATTCAGAGAAGTCAGAGCCGGAGAAGGCCACTTGCTCTGTCCAATACAAGCCTGCCACAGAGGTCTTCGGGACCGTACTGGGGATGCAGGCTGACACGGGCTTGAGTTCTGAGGTGAAAAAACTGGGGAAACTGTGAAGGAAGAGCTGCATTAAGGAGGATGAAGAGCGTGTGGTTCTGTATCATTGCAGCCCCAGTGGACCCAGGGGATGCCTCCAAAAAGTAAATGCTTCCTTCCCTTTATCTGTACTGTTGGGATTGGTACCCCCTCCAAATTAGCTGCCTTATTTCAAAAGTCAGTGAAATACTGTACTTCATTAGAGTCACAAAAATACTACTTTATTGTTTCTTTAGTTAAGAAAGCTAGGATTCAGACCCAAATAGTGGATAGATAACACACAAATGCAAGGACTTTTTTGTTTACTCCAGATTTGGGGTTTATTTTGAGTGGCATGCTTCAAATAGTTCATAAAGATCCTTGCATTAAATTTTTGAACCATTTCTTCAAACTTCTTAGTGTATTTAGACAAGGAGAACAAAAATGGAAACCAAAGCCCTTTCCGTTATTTTTTAAGTGAAGGTGAGAAAGAAATACCATACAATTTTCTTTGTGAAATTACTGTTTATTTTCATCAACATTTACCAAGTGCCATTGACATTTATAAAAAAAAAAAATCCCTTAAATAGTTCTTACACTTGCCCTTTTCACCTTAACTGAATATGAACTGAGTGCACTAACTTACTTACTTGATATACTGTGCATCTACTCTGCTTTGAAGCAAAAGAAATATAAACACGAGGAGGAACAGGAAAGACAGTGTGACACTAACTTGCCATTGCAATTTAAAACCCTGAAAACGATGGGTTTAAAGCAAGGTGATTAAGCTGTGACCTCCTTTAATCTCCTGAAGCAAAGTAAAATGGTTACATGCAAAACTTCTAGACATAGACTCTTAAAATACACACATTTTGCTTTCATTTTGGCTTCAACCCAGTGCTGGAACTAGGCATCCAGACTAGTTTGAATTTTTGTAGCTGAATCTTGCATGGGTGCTCAAAATTAAATCAAGAATTTGCCTCAGTTTTTGCTTCTTTTGAAGTTTCAGTGACCCAAGCTGGGTGTGTGTGTCTTGGCTACTTGTTTAATAGCACTGGAATTCCATATGAAGCTTTGAGAGTTGATATTCATTAAGAGGGATTTTTTTCCCCCTCTTTACTTCTCTTTTGCTATAACAAAGGGTTGAAGAAATTGCCATCTGTGTAGTTTTCAGTAGCTGTCAAGTGTGTATTACTTACCTTCCCCCAGACGTAGTTTAAAATGGTAAATACAGCTGTGATTTTTAGTTAAGTAAAAGAGTTAATATGATATAGATATGGAAAGCTTTATAGCTTCATTAAAAAGATAAACCACTACCTAACTGTGGTTGTATGTTGTTTCCATCATACTAACTAGATCAGTGGATGCGCCAGTTTTCATCTTGGTCCTTACACTTGAGAAGTTAAACTGTGGTTCAATATTTAAACTGCCAGTGTTCTATGTCTCATGTTCTGTGTGGCAAGTGAAGGTACTGTGTAAGGAAGACATTTGCGGTGCTTCTTGTCTTATAATGATTCAAGTATATAGTAATTCTTGAAAGAGTGTGCATATGTTACTCATCTGCTTAAGAGAGTGGGTTAATGGATATATCACAGGAGCCAAATACATTTTTTTCAGAACTTGAAAACCAAAGGTCATCATGAGTGCACTCAAAAGTTAGCAAAAGTTGATTACATTTGGGATTTTCATCTGTAGCTGTATGAAGAACCCTTTCCAATATAAAAGCATGGCATTAAATTAGGCCGAAGTCTTTTATTTTTTGTATATGTACCATATAGAAATACTAGCAAGTTAGGATCATCCAATTAGGCCTACCCCAAAATGGCCCCTCTGTTTCCCTGACCACATGGAAGAAAGAATCTGAACGTCTCCACCAGCTTTACCCAAGTTCCAAAACTAAAGGGCTTCTGCAGACCTGATGGTGCCAGTTTACCTGTTGTTGGCCAACTGGATACTTGACTCAGGCATAAATTAAGTGCCCTGGTCCTGAAATTTTCTCCTTGTATTTGACCTCCTTCCCTGTTCCCTAAATTACTAGTCTGGAATTAAAATGAGCTCCAGCAATGACCTTTGACTCCATTCATTTTCTCCTCCCTCATCTTGGGTCTTAAAAAAAGGAGACCAGATACCTCTTAGTTTTTGTATCGCAACCAGGAATGGGTAATAGGCCTCATGCGCTTTGTTCTCAGAACACTCTGCCGCTTTGTTAACAAATGACAGCATGGAACCCAGAGTTTTGATTCTATGCAAAATAACAGCAGTGCAACCAGGATTCTTGCTTTCCTTTTCCTTCTTGGAGTTTGGAATTTCTAGCTTTTCAAGCAGCATAAGTAGAATCAACATTAGGATGTTTTCATGAAATAGCATCCTTATACTCCTTTGAGCTTGATTTAGTGGCTAGACTGAGTTCCCTTTGCTCTCAAAATAGCAAAGTGCATTGAAATATACAGAGAAATGCCTGAATATGGCAAGCAAATAAAGTAATGTAGGTTAACGTTCTATTATTGTATCCATTTTACAAAAAATGAAATAAAAATGTGATTTATGCTGGAGAACGGCATTAGAATGCAATACGTTTTCTAGGTTTTCTCTGTTTCAGTGTCTCTCCCAATCGCACGAAGGGTTATTGGGCATTGTCCCCACCCCCGCCTTTTTAAATGTGCACTATCTGGATTCCTGTAAATGGCCTTGCAAACAGAAGTGGTGTGTATTTTCAAGCACCTTTCCCCCAATTGTGTCCGAATCCCATTTGTGTGATATCTGTGACAAATAGCCTTCTTACTGTGTTTTCTGTTGGACTAATTATCTCACATAAAGCTATAGACCTTACTAATTTGGCAGGTATTCACAACTGACATTAGGATTTCATGTCAGAAATTTATTTAAAGAGTAAAGTTAAATTTGTTTAGTGTCAGATCAGTGACAGAGAAGTGAAAAGAAAGTAATTGTGAAAGTGATGTTTGAGCTATTGTACACATGTAGCATATGAAAAGGAAATGCATTAAAAAAAATACTACTCTAAAACATGAGGCTTCTTCAGCAACGTGTGCATTCTGCTATTAAGAGATAGTTAAATTTTTCTCCTCTAGAAAGCCTTAATTATGGCAGAAACTTTTTAACCTTTTATATTTTAATAAATAAAACATTGTAGTCCCATTTCTTAGTGTTTGAAAGGTGTGTCAGTGAGTCGGCCATGTCTCCATGTGTTTCATACCTGTTCATCTTGTTTTATGATGGTATATTTCATAAGTAATATTCCCTTACATGCAATGGAGCTGATTAAAATTAATCCATTTCAATTTCTCCATATCGGAAATTCCTCAGCTACCAGATTTCTGGTTTGGAGAAGTGCTGGAAAGATTTCAAAGCCTATTCAATTGTGTATGTGGGGATACAACAACCGCGGTGATACATTGTAGAATATGAGTGATATGCAAGCTGTGTTTTTTAATTGTTTTAAAATGTAAACTGTGGTTATACTAAAGTGAAAACCTAGAGGAAGCTAAAGATTTTTATATACTTTGTACGGCCAAATATGGTCGTAGTATGACCAGTTGTATACATTGCCAGAGAGTTCTGCCTCCTCTGAAATAACATTCGCACCGTAGATTGCATTTCTGCTTTTCCTTCTTTCACATTCTTTTTTGCTTTACACGTCACATCTTCGCACCTGCCCTACCACCCATCCTTTCAGAGAGGTTTCTCTTACGTTCCAGAATTCAGATTGTTCTGTGATTTCTTTTTTATCAGTCTACCCATTTCTGCAGGCAGCCCTGAAAGCCCTTGTGTTGATTCAGAGGTTTGCAGAGAAATGCAGTTGAACCCTGGTAGTGGGGTGTCCCTCACACACCCGTGCACCCCTCCCAAAGTTCAGGATGAAAGGCTAGAAAGCGCAGTCAAAGTGAGGAAAGAACACAGATCTTTGAGGCCAATAGCCTAGACCTAGAAGATGACCTTGACTGTGTAAACATTGTCTCCATGACACCAAACATTTAAACTCTTCATGTGCATATAACACCTGCTTCTGCTCCCATGGTTTCAAGCTCATCTTATCTTTGTAGTAGTAATATTTGTCTTTGATACCTACAAACTAAAAAGGTACTTTTATCAAGGTTTCTCAAAACATTTACAAAACCAGCTTTGAGGAAATGCGGAGTGTTGCCCGGCAACAGCACTCGGAGTAGTAATTGTATTTTCTCATTGTGATGTTAGTCTGTGTAAGTAACCAGTGTAGTAACTCTTTGGTTCATTATTGGCGTTGTTTTTATTTTTAGTCTCTGTATGACCCACCAGTGGCAGGGGTTCCAACCCCCCTCCTCTCTTTTTTGCATTTATCTATTTGTAGGATTGTCAGATGTACAAGATGCCCAGTTAAGTTTGAATTTCAGAGAAACAATTTCGCTTAAGAATGTTTCATGCAATATTTGGCGTATATTTACGATACAAGCATTCGTTATTTGAAACTCAAATGTAACTGAGCGTGCTGGTTTTTTTCATTGTTTGGTTTTCTAAATCTGGCATTCCAACAGATTTGGTCATGGAAAATCACCTACAGCATGTTAAACTCCTCTGGTCATCATCGTCTTGTCACCTGAAATAGAAGTCCTTTTTCCCTCCCCCTCCACTTCTTTCCAAAGGAAGGCATCAAGGAACGTAACCTGCCTGCCTGGCGGGTTTCTATTTAAGACATCTTTGTGATTATATTTAACCTGCAATTGTGCTTTGGCTTAATGTCTAGCTCACTGTACTTGTAATTGATTAATATTCAATAAAACCATTTTTAAAATACACTTGTGTGGATAGCAGTTAGCTCTTAAGTATTTTCATTTTGCCCTGCTTGTTCATTTCTGCCTGACCAACCTTAACACAACTGACCTGAAAAAACTGTCAGAATACAAATACCAACCCTCCCTCTCCATCTTCCCGTGAGACCTGGGTTTTAAGTGACTTATTCTCACCTCTCAGCCCACATGGGAGTTACTGAATAACTTCTGTGATAGCAGGAACAACACAGGTTCCTTTCAGAAATATCTGTTAAACAGGCTGACACCTTAGAGTCAGACCTCACGCCAGGTCCAAAGGCAGCCCAGAGGCCTTGCACAACGTGATTGCTCAGAGACTCACCCCCTGTCCACCTCTTGTGGGAGAGGGAGGGGAAGAACACTCACTTCATACAACAGTAAGTATTAACTACCTAGCACAGTGCGTGGAGCAGAGGACTAAGAAAATCTTTCCATTCTTCCCCTCTTCTTTCTCTATGCCTAGGGATCCATTACATAGCAAATTTGAAACTAGAATTTTATCTGTACATTAACTTCTTTTGCCAGAGGGATTGTCAGAGTGGCAAAGAGACATAAATAAATGGAAGTGCTCTAGTAACCCTGCAAATAACAATAACCATCACTGAGGCCCTACATGAACCAAGTACTTTGTATACATGCATTTTCATTAATAACCCCAAAAACTTTGCAAAACTGGCCTTTTAATTGTGTTTTGCAGGTGAGGAAGTGAAACTGGAAGTGGTTAAATTAGTTATGTTATATCCCAGAATGCCTTGCACTATAAGACTAAATACCAGATGGCTGGGCACGGTGGCTCAAGCCTGTAATTCCAGCACTTTGGGAGGCTGAGGCAGGCAGATCACGAGGTCAGGAGATCGAGACCATCCTGGCTAACACGGTGAAACCCTGTCTCTACTAAAAAATACAAAAAATTAGCCGGGCGTGGTGGCGGCGCCTGTAGTCCCAGCTACTTGGGAGGCTGAGGCAGGAGAATGGCGTGAACCCGGGAGGTGGAGCTTGCAGTGAGCCGAGATCACGCCACTGCACTCCAACCTGGGCGACAGAGCAAGACTCCATCTCAAAAATAATAATAATAATAATAATAATTACCAGTTGCTATGTACCAATCACCAATCACAGATGGAGTTTCAGTGTTTAAGCAAGAATGAAAACACAGACTTTACCACATGATTTTATGTCAGTGTCTCACGCAACAATCAGATTCTGAATGCCATTAGAATCAGGTGTTGCCTTTTGGTTATAGAAAGGGAAATTATAGAGGGGACAATTTTGGGAATAAGGCGTTATAGAAAGGGTTATAGAAATAGAAATTATCTGGATTGTGCACAAAAAGCAAGTGGAATATAAAACAGCAGCTTAGAATTTCAACAGCCTGGGTTGGTTTATGACACAGATGTATTCCAAGGGCCTGCTTTTACAGCATCAACCACTGTGGGTAGGGGATTGGGGGAAGTTGGGAGGGGCAGCTGTAAATCACTTGCTGGATTGGGTTTATTTTCTGGAGGAAATTACTTGCTAGAAAACTAGATCCTATTAAAGGGATGAGTGCTTCTTGGGTAGCCAGTTTTGAAGAACTGTTTTTGGATTATGTTGTCTATGTTGAGTGTTTGATGCTGTGACCTAATTTCTCTCATTAGAGGCAGCATGTCCTATTTATAGCACCTGTCAACCTTTATCATTTGGCTAGGTCCACTTTTCTTCATTATCTTATAAGACTGTACAAGAGGCCTCCAAGCTGAAAGAGCACCTGACACTATATTGGAAATAATGAAAGTTGGGTCATCTGTTCCCATTAAGTTGGAACCTAACTGTCAGGTTTTCTGGTTGGCATCAACTCTGAACACTTGGATATGTAAAAAAAAAAACAGTGGAAAAGGGGTTGGTGTGTACGTCTTCATTTCTACCAACTACCATCTACCAATAGTGCTAATAAAACAACTTTGCATTAGACAATATGAAAGATGTTAATTTTGTTAATATGATTCTTGGCATACTATTCCTGCCCAAGGACCCATTTGTAAAATAAGTCTATTCACCTGTACTTTCATAATTTTGCCTACAAATCAGTGGTATGTAACACAAAGTATAAAGTATAAGGTAACCGTGCTTATGGGTCATTGGGAGTGTATAGAGGCTGAAGGCAGGAAACCAGTGCTTGCCCTACAGTACAGAATTGCTTCATAACTCCAAGGCATTTCTATGAAGGCCATGTCTCTACCATTCATCTGTCAAGTAGGAGTACTGGCTGCCATATAGTTATTTAATTTAGGACTACTTAAAAGACGTACAAGGTGATACATATTGAATGCTTTTGGGGTCTGAGGAGAAGATCGAAGTAAAACAATAAGAATTTTAGGTGTCTAGTCTGTTAGTGTGACTGTTACCAAAACACCTGGGGTTTGATCTAGGCCCTGCTGCTTGCCGCACAGAAAGCCAATGACTGAGATGATGAGTATTGCCAAGGAAGAAGGCTTTAATCGGGTGCTGCAGCCAAGGAGATGGGAGTTCAGTCTCAAATCCATCTCCCTAACTAAAACTAGGGGTTTATATAGCAGGGAAGAAATGTGTAAGAAAACAGGAACTAGGGAGAGGCAAGGAAGCAATCATGATGATTGAGGGGTGGGTATCTCACTGTCTGGATGTGTTGATCTGGTGAGTTTCAGTTCTTTGATACTTTTTGAGAGACCTGAGGGATCCTGTCCTGAGGAAGGAACTAAGACAAAACGAGTATGTTTTGAGCTTTAAGAGCAGAAGTGTCCATTTCTATGCTTATCCAAAAACAATTGTGTATGTGAATGTTGGGTCAATTTCATAACTAGTTAGCTGAAAGACTGTAGGATTAAAACTTCCAGCCCTGCCATTGGAAGGCCTAAGTTCATAGCATGGTTTCACCACTTACTAGCCATGTGACCTCGAGAATTTCCTTATGCTTCTTGGGTCTCAGTTTCCTCATCATTAAAAATTAGTATACAACTACTACTACTACTATTTCATAGAGTTGCCGTGAGAATTAAATGAGTTAACTTGAATAGTATGTTCTTTTTTTTTTTTAATCTGAAAACCGGCTTTCCATTCTGCCCCCTAAGAAAAAGTACTTGATTGGCTAGAATGGGAGATTAGAAGAAAGCATATCTATGACTGGCTCAGACCCCTTAAAGAATTTTCTGCCGGCTGGGCACGGTGGTGCACGCCTGTAATCCCAGCACTTTGGGAGGCTGAGGCGGGCGGATCACAAGGTCAGGAGATTGAGACCATCCTGGCTAACACAGTGAAACCCCATCTCTACTAAAAAAATACAAAACATTAGCCAGGTGTGGCGGCATGCACCTGTAGTCCCAGCTACTTGGGAGGCTGAGGCAGGAGAATGGCTTGAACCCAGGAGGCAGAGCTTGCAGTGAGCTGAGATCGTGCCACCACACTCCAGCCTGGGCAACAGAGCAAGACTCCATCTCAAAAAAAAAAAAAAAAAAGATTTTTCTGCCTAATTGAAGCCCAGAGTGCTGCAGAGTGGAACCAGATGTCCATTATCAGCCCTAACATTTTTGTCACCAAACTACTGTACTGGCTCAGAGCTCTTGCCAGATCTTCTGGGGTTGCTCCTTACTGAAGCAGTAATGAGAACACACTATTTCATAGCAAGGTATATACAACTACATCTTCATCAGTGTTGACGTTGACGAGCATAGCATAGCAAAGTCCCCCAGAAGTCATCCACATCCCCAGAAAGAAAAGCCTAAAACTATTACTGTATTAGCGTTCAACTCTAGAAGGCTGCCATAGACCCAAGGCAAATGTTGGTGGGGGGTTGGGGAGGAGTTCAGGGGAGGGCCTCCCATTCAGTAAGTGTATCTAGGAGTTCAGTAAGGAAACTATCCAAACTGTGATCAAAGTAACCACATCTTTGATAATGGAAAGACTTGGCCAGTTGGACATTTTCTAAAATTTGAGTAGAAGGCTTAGAGGAAAAGAAGGAACAAAGAGAGGTCTGAGGTTTTCTCATAGCAGGAGAGCAAAAATCTTAGTTGCCACTCAAGTTAACTTAAGCCTGATTTCATCATCACCATCTAGTAGCATTTCTCATGGTCACAGCCATGAGTAAGAAAAAGGCAAAGGTTTATCCAATACTTTTCATTCATTTAAATCTGTTCCAAATCCATTACTCTGAGGAATTGCAGTTTTATTGTCCCTGATTATAGTTGCTTGACTATCTACATGCTTTGGACTTGTCTCTGATTAGATGGCTCATTTTTTTTCATGGCAGGAACCATGGGCTCCCCAATACCACCTGCCACAGTACCCTGAACATAGAACACTGATTCTATTTCCAAGCAGCATTTGAACAGGGTGTCTTTTAATAAACTGGCAGCCTGTCCTTTAATAAATGGAGTGTAGCTAGATCTTGTTAAAACACCTTCAAATACCCTAAGCTGACCACATGCTGAAGGATGAGGATAGGAGTGCAAAATAGCTTTTCATAGACTCTGAGAACCAGAATGGGTCTTTAGAGATCACTTGGTCCAGCTGCATTATTTTTTTACTGAAGAATTTGTAGCAGGCCACATAGCTACAATGAGGCAGGACAGACACCAGAATCCAAACTTCTGGCTTCCATTTGGACTTAAAAATAGCATTCCCACCCAATGACACTAATTCTGAAAATGACCATCTTTAATTCTTCACACTCTTTCCTCTTTCTTCTAACCTTCCACAAACAGCTACTAAGTCCTATAGAAATATTTCAGCCATCAAATCTCTCATTCGTCCCTTGAGATCATGCCTGGACTAGTGGTTGCTCACCTCCACTACCAAAACCTTCTGAAAGCACAATTCTGATTAGAGAACTATGTCATATGGGAAGTTACCTTGATTCAATGGTAGCCTCCACAGATACTACCAGGCAGACTATCCCTGAGTTCCTAGAGCAGAAAAGTCCAAACCAAATGAAAAAGCTCAAATACTTTTTATCACTTATTTTAATAAATAAAT